TCAAGAAAACCAATCGGGTACAAAAATACTACTTATAATTACTTCTTCGTTCCTCTTACAGATCAAACTGGCCGAGTCCAGTTTAATCATTCCATCACAGAAAGAACAGAGAAAGGGTAAATTTCAAGTTGTTTGATAGTGCAGTACCGTACCTCAAGCTTCCCATTGTTTGCGACCCCAGCCCATGCCTTAGCGGCAATCCCCGTAGGCCGCAGCCCACTGGAAATCAACCAAAACAGCAGTCGAGATCTGGAAGCTCGGGATCAGAAGCAGGCACCGTACAAACCTGAGACCTCGGCTACAAATGTAAACTCTCCCGCCACCACGCTTTACGCCAAACGAACCATGTTACCATTCGGATCGAACAACTGTCATCTTTCTTTAATCTTGTTACAACTAAAAGTATGAAGCGAAACATTTATCAATGCATCGTGCGAATGGTTTGGAAATTACCCGACCCGAGATCCTCAGGCCTTCGGCAGAGTTGTCTTCGGTGAGGTGGTAGCGGCCGACGGGACATTGCGGCAGTGCGGATGTCTTCGGTGATGCATTTGACCTTCGCCCGCCTGGCGGGGGCGAACACTATTGCAATTGAGGCCATCAGAATCACCGCCGGGAGAAGAGGAATGCTCACGGCGGCCATTTGAGGCCGGTGCCCGGCCGAGTTTTTGAAGCGCCGGCTAAAATTTGTAGAGCGTGCACACTTCTTTAATTTCAGTCATCAAATCTTGTACTTCAATTCAATTAAATTATGAAATATGACATTTAAATATTAAATAAATATATTTAATTATTAGCTAACATAATTAGAAAATATTTGACTTCATATATCCCAATAATATTGATACGTCATCCTGAAATTATCTTGATCGGGCACGAATCTTGATTCAAAAGCTAGTTGGAAACTTCAAAAATTAATTTTGGGAGCACCCGAACTCCGATTTCAGCGAGCTTATAGTCAAACTGAGCGTCTCGGAAATACGAACAAATTTATGTGGAGCGAGCACACTTCTTTAATTTCAGTCATCATCTCTTATACTTCAATTCAATTAAATTATGAAATATGATATTTAAATATTAAATAAATATATTTAATTATTAGGTAACGTAATTAAAAAATATTTGACTTTATATGTCCCAATAATATATTTAATTATTACAATTTTTTTTCTTGGAATTCAAAGAGACATGATACTATAAGCAATATTTTGATCAAAAATTTGATTGAATATTCCTATTTGTAGCGCTTAATTATGTTCCAACTATGGCAGTTGAGCGAAGCAATATGATGGATGTGGGTGGTTAGCGACGGTGTAAAGGTAATGGTTAGACAATAACGATCCAATAATAGTGATTGATTGACGTTGTTTTGATGACAACGATCAGGCAGCATCATCCTAATGGTTATAGTATGACACGGTGGTTTGATGGCGATTGTTTGGCGACAACACTTGGACAACAATGGTGATTAAACTGCAGTGGTCTGATGATGATGGTTCAAGCATTGATGATTTGACGATTCCTTTCAAGTGATATCAGTCCAATGGTTGTTGAGCTCTATGATTCTTCATTTCTCAAAGCCCATTGTAATCTCATATATAGCTCAAATTCAAAACACTCTATCGGATGACCCTACCAATCTACTTAATCATAGACCTTTCATTTTGCATTTATGTGCCTTAATATTTTAGGAATTAAGTAATCTTAGGCTGATTAGATTTTTCTCATTGTGTCCCAAAATTTTTAATCATATTTTATATATTTGATTTGAAACTCAATTAGACTCGTATCATGCCTCCTTTGATGATGATGGGTTCATTCATTAAAGTTTAATATGATTACAAAAATGTTAAAATCAGAGTTTAGATGATTATGATTTTAATTTTACAATTTTTTTTATTTAAATATATATATTGAGATTCATATTTGATCCACATCAAATATATTTATATTCATGAAAATATTCAAGCTCCATAAATTAAAGAAGTAACTCATATATTTAAAAATTCAAGTGGAATGACTTTTGAGCCCTCCCAATTAAGTGCTTTAAATAACACCACCTACCACAATGGCGTGTGTTGAACTAATCTCTTTTCTTTAAGCTGACTTAGCAGCATCTGAACTAATTCGTTTTTATTGGATTTTTTTAATTCTAGTGATTATTCAATATAATAAATCATTTAATTAAATAAAAATAGAATCATTTTTCTACTTTTATTTAATAAGCAATATTTTTCATAATTATTAGAAAAAAAAAGTAGCCTATTGCTAAAATTTTAGAGGTTCACCTACCTCCAATTCAAGATAACGAGAAGAGTGTAATTCTACAATATTGATTATATAGTTGATCATTTCAATTAGGTTATGGCATGTGATATTTTCTCGTCTAAGATTTTTGAAGTAAAAACTTTGGTGTTTCGTATGAAATTCTTATATATATATACGTGTTAGATCTTCACAAAAAAAAAAAGTTAAGTTGGTAATCTCTCGCTCTCATTATGTCAGTATTCTAGCACAGTAATTCTATTGTCGCCCAACCACCATCAATAGCACGTTGTTGCTAGATTATCATCACTTGATCGTCAGTTCCCAACCATTGTCTTCCGACCTTCTTTGCTCAACCTCCATCCCTTGACCGTCATCATCACCATCCATAGGAGATGTGTTAGTATTCTTAATTTTGTATATCATCTTCTCCAAATTATGATGATTAGTGAATTTATATAATCTTGCTTATATAATAGATCATTTTAACTAGGCTAGGTTTTTTGTTCTTTTGTGAGTTTTTCATGTAAAGCTCTTGTATCTCCAGTGAAACTCTTTTTTTTTTTATCTTCATGTATAATAAATTTTTGTATAAAACTAAGACGGTAACATTAATCCCTCACTCTAATGCCATGAATATTCTAGAATATAATAGATTGATTCATGAAAATTACAACCCATAAATTATTGAAAAGAAGGATGGGTGGGTTTGTTTGTTTTTTAATAAATCATGATTTGAGATTAAATTAAATTAAATTAATTGTAATGAATACAAAATTAAACTAATTATAAGTGAAATTGAATTATTTGATTGGCTTAGGGGTTATTTAGGATCAATTTTTTTTTTTTATTTTGCTTAATTTTTGTTTATTTATATTTTGATATGAAATAAAGATTGCTTGGTGTTTAAATATATAATTTTTACTGAATATCAAATATGTTGATTTATTTAGTGGTGGTAGCGATTGATTGTTGTTATAAAAAAAATATTCAAACACCTCAAAATTATTTTGAGTGTTTTTTTTAAAACAACTTAATATATTTTTTTAAAATAAAAAATAAAAGTGTTAAAAATAAACTAAATAAATATGTTTTAAAAAATTCAAAATAAAAAGATCACAAAAGGCTCCTTAAGTTTCAATTTGGTTTTTAGTTAGTTTAGAATTACACTTATTGAATGGATACAATATAGTATTTTTGGTTTGATGTGAAACATACTTATTGCATCCTGAAAAATTCACAACAGTAGAGGGAGATATAGTTTAGCATCTAATCTTTGCATGAAGATCCAGCACACATACAAATAAAAGAATAAGGTGCATCATTTATAAGAGACAACAATATTTTTACGTGGAAAACCTTGAAAAAGAGCAAAAACACGAGGTCTGACTCAATTTGAATGAATCTACTAGTATTCATTATTCATTACAAATGAGGCCCTTCCTTGGGGGGAAGTTCTTTGGCTTGATGTAGCAAATATACATCATAATAAGCACATTACATTGTTGTAGTTGGAAGAATCCACTGACATAAGAAATGTTCTCAAGAAAATGTTGGCTTGTTTGTTTGATCAGTATGATCATAGTCAACTGATAACGAAGGTCAGAGGTATCATAATCGATGGGTGATGGTGGTTGGAGTCGCTCGTAGTTTATGGGCGAAGATTGTCAGAGTGGACCATAGTCGATGGGTGGCGGTGGTTGCAGTGGACGGTAGTGGGATGGCGATGGTGGTCAATGTGGAGCGTATTTGGCGTGCAATGGAGGTTGGAAATATCATAGTTGGGCAACTGTCGATGGACGGGCGAGAGTCATGCGACAATCGGTGGTTGGGCATAAGTTTGTCAAGCGTTGGTAGCAGGGTGGAATTCGAATTGTAACTTGAGTGGAGAGCAAAAGATATGTGTCACCGAGTCAAATCGACTTGTGAGTTAGCTCGTGCTCAACTCTAATGAGCTAAGCTTTAGCTTATATTGAGTTGACTTATTAACTTATGAGCTAACTCAGCTTATAATAATAATTGACATATATTACATTTACAATATATTGGAATTCTAAAGTTTAAGTACAAAATTATTAAAAATGTTAATTTTTTTAATAAATGAATTGATTCAGCTTAGGGGTGCAAACGAGTCGAGTCGAGCTTGAGTCATATTTAAATCAAGCTCGGCTCGTCGGTCAAATCGCAAACTCAAACTCAAGCTCGAGCTCGGATTGAGCTTAAATGGTCTGCTCGAGCTCGGCTTGTGGTGATGGATGCGAGCTTGCCAGGCGTAATGCTCTCTTCCCGCTCTGATCATGTTTCCGCATTTTTACGAGAGCATGCCCGAGCTTCCGCTTCCACTTTCGCACCTGCGCTACTGCTTCCGCCTTTCGTGGTTCCACCTTCAGCACTCGAGCAGCTCGACAAGTAATCGAGTAGAGTTTCATCTTGATCTAACTCAAGCTCGATAATCCAACGAGCTCAAAAAATTGCTCGAAGTTAAACTCAAAACTCAATAAACACAGCTCGCAAGCTCATCAACAAGTCAAGTCAACTTCACTCATTTGCAACCCAACCAAATTCAGCTCGTTGAACTCATAAACTTAAGCTAAATTTCAATGCACAAATTGCTCAACCGGTCTTAAGAAATAACCGTACTACAATATGCGCCATATGGCCCAATCCGCTTCTCCGATTTATTTGTTTACTTATTCAAAAAAATGACTTTATATTTATATTATCAATGGAGAAAGGTTAAAGGCGGAGAGAGAGAAGGCGCGCGAGGGGGGAAGGTACGAGCGAGAGATCATCGCCAACTCCCACTCTTCAATCGTCAGGCGAACTGTCCCACTCTCATCTGCATTTCCAATCCTTGGTTCTCCTCCCGGGAAGGCAAAAAAGGTATTTTTTTTTATTGTTTTCGAAATCAAGTTTGAGTTTTTTTATTTTGGGTGATTTCTGACTGGAATCGCAATGCCGGTGTAGATTTGGAGAGCCATCGCGATGGTGGAGAGGAAAAAGACTGCCGTAGGCGGGGGTGCCGTAGCGGGAGGAGGAAGAAGGCAGGGGGTGAGAACTTGGGCGCTGAGGGTGGGCACGAGCATAATGTTGTGGACGATGATGATGCAGCTGAGTTCCATGCCGCATGTTTGGCAACCGCGGCTGACTTGCTTTGGAGGTCGAGGAAGGGATCCTAATTCCACCAACTACTCCATTCTCGAAAGCAAGTACCCGCTTGAAAGTTCGAAGACTTCTCCGCCGGCGTTAATACCGAGAAGTAAGTTGATTTCTTGGTTTCTTGGTCGTTTGCGGTGTGGATCGATGGTAAGATTTAGAAATCTTTCAATTAGGTTTCTTTTTTTTATTTTTTTTTATTTTTTTTGTGTGTCTGTGATAATGAATGTACATTGGGACTAGTGGCCGATTGGTTTTGCACGGTTGATTGGTTTGTTTGCGGTGAAAGATCTGTAAGGAGTTATAAGATTGGTTGGCCTTTTTGGTGAAATTTGTGTTTGTTTAGATCGTGTGGAGAGCAGGGCATTCGATTGTTTACTGATTAAGGATTAGTATTCCTTCAGCTCTTTTAGAAGCTAGGGTTTGGATGAATAAATCGAGCCAGATTAATTTGGGAATTTTGATAGATTTTAAGGGTTTAGGATTGTGAAGTGCTTAGGGAATATTGTTTGGCTCTTTTTTATCCTAGGGTTTGGATGTGTAAATCAGACAATCTTCGAAATGTTATGACTTTTAGATTCATGAACTGTATTAGTTATTAAAGTCGCGATTTTTTGTTCAGGAAGGCTTGTGCTGAAGAGAAAATTTGTTTGTGGAAGATGGTAAAAACCATATATGTAGAATGTGTGATGAGGAAATTCAAAATTTATTAGTTGCAAAACAATGAGTATGTGAGGTAGTACGGATCAATTTTGCCTGATTATACAAATGGCTAGAAACCTATTCAACCTAAAATGTTTAGGTAATGCTAGCAAGGCGCCCTTGCTTTGTTTGCAAAAGCTCATTATTTTAGAGAATATGTTACTGGCTAAGCTGAACAAATATTTCAGGAAAGTAAGTTTAATATCAAAAGGGAAAATATATATGGATTGAACTAAATAAATTGTGAAGTTTTTTCATCCTTATCTTTGCTGCGTGGTTGGGCTATTATTAGATATTTATGATCAAAGCTTATGTCAAACAAACTCTACTAATTAGTTTAGAAAGAGAAAGATAAGGCCATAACATGAAAATAGTGCCATAGTCCATACATAGTCAATACGAAAAGGTTTGAATGCTAAATTTAGTTATATATAATGAAGCACAATCATCATGTTAGACCAGTCCTTGGATCAGTCCAGCCAGTCCACCCTGGACCGGATCATGTTTACACCAGGCAGAACAGAGGTTTCGCCCAACTGGAGGCCGATCTCCTTGGTGGATACCAACAGTGAATTAAGAAATATTTAAGGATGGGTTTGGGATGGAAAATTCAAAGTAAAGGGCTGTTTAGGGATTTAGATGATTGTTGTTTTGCTTTAACTAGATTATTCTCCCTATGCTTAGGGTTAGATATATTTTTGTTGAATTCGGGAGTTCTCTTAGGTTTGCTTGGGCTTTAGCCACCGGCTAGGTGTTGAGAGAGCAAGATCTTCCTCTTGAATTGAAGATCTATTGTATCTTGTTTGTTTTTTCCATTTTTCATCAATATGATAGCATTTCAAGAGTTTTGTAACTAGATTTTTCTCTATTTCAGATTTCTCCTAGCTGAAACTGCAATTTCAGCCAAGTACGAATTCAATTCATGCACTTGTTTCCTAACACATTGTTTCCATGGAGTGTGATATTGTAGGTTATCGACAATTAGCCCATGAATATTTTTCACATGATGCAACTGATAAAAAGTAAACTACTGAACACAAATTGTGTTGTTCCGTGAATTGATTGCTAGCTTTTCTCGTTAGCCCTTTTGTTGTTGTGTTTATTTTTTTCTTGTACATAACCTTAATTACACTTAAGAGCCTCATTAATTCTACTTTAAATTAGGAAAATAGCTACCCACCTCATTCTTCCTTTCCTTTATAACTTAAAAGAAGCAATATGGTATTATGATTTACTTTTGATCCGATGGAGCATGATCAATCTAAATAATAGTACTTGCAGAGATTTCATCACTTCCTCTATTCCCAATTGCACTCTCAACCTTTCCCAACTTCCTAATGCACATAACTGTGAGAAGGGATAAACTCTTTTCCCCCTAAGATAAAAAACATGAAAAGAGTAAGAGAATTACAAATCTTATCGCTATTGTGTTACAATCAACTCATTTGAGCCTCATGTCAATTTAAATATTGCCACCTGTTATTTTTTTCAACTTATATATAGAGTGAAATTTTTACTACTTGTTCTTTTTAAAAAAACTTTGAACTTTGTAAAAGAAGTAATTCTTGGTAAAACTATTTTTGCAACATGATTTAGGAATTGCAGGCGGTTCTTAAATAAACCAATATGTAGTCTCAACTTGGTCACGTTAATGCAATTATCATATAATGATATATTTAGTATGATAATATAATAGAAGAATAAATTTAGAAAGACCAGATGCGGAACATCTCATGTTAGTTTTTTTATCTTATATATGGAAATATAGAAGTGAGGTCTAAGCATGAAAATGTCAACATTAAAATGAAGTTCTCATATATGCGTTAGACCTATAATCACTATGTGCCTTAAGTGATTGACATAACATAGATTTAGTTAAAAAAAAGTGATAAAATAGTGCATAGTGAAACTAAATGGGGTCTAATAAGTGCCAATGTCCGACATTGGTCGAGTGCTTTTGTATTTTTTATCCAAAAATGAAATATTTATGAATTTTTTATATGTGATTATTTGCCTAAAAAGTTTATTAAGATACTCAAATGATCAAAACTCTAATTTTTTTTCTACCTGGAATGTAAAACATCAAAATTTTAGAGTACTCAATTAGATTATTATCATCATTAGCCTTATAATAATTTTAGAGTTCAGCTTTATAAGTCCTCATTTTTCGTTAATTCTTATAGAGTGTTCCTGCCTAAAGTGCTAAACCTTTTTTTACTAATCATTTTGAATTGCTTCTAATCATCTGACATTAATTCTATCTACTCATCACATAGTGTGTTGTCTACACTTTACTATATATGTACAAATTACCTAAGTTTATTTTTTAGGCTTTAAGTACTTTATTCATTTGTCTAATAAAATGTTGTTCTTTAATTTATCTTTTTTAGTTTGGCTATATATTTGTCCTAACATTCTCATTTTTGTTAATGCTATCAGCATATTTTGATAAATGACAGATTTTGATAAAGACTATGTTGCATGGTGTGATGCTCTCATATATATGTAGCTTATATGTTTTTCCTTTTTGTAGTGCCTACTTAAAAGAAAGTGGATGTGCTTAGTGTTTCAGTTGTTTTTTTAGCTTTCTGATGTGATATAATTATAGAAATTTTGTACTATTTCATAAAACTAAACAAGTTAAATTAACTTGCTCGCATGGCTTATATTACTTGAAAGCATGTTATACTTAAATTGGATGAATATTTTGAAAATCTATCATTTTTTATTGCCACCCTTTAAGCATAATTTATTTTTTTAGTTTACTTGTCCATCCTGCTTGATCAACGGTCAAATCTATGAATGTTATCCTTGTAATCTTCATTCAAATGTTTCTCATAATAGATGAACTCTGAAATTCCGCACAAATGATGACTCAATCCTTGAAAAATGAAAACTTACTGTAGTAGATTCTTTTAGGACTTCGATAATGATCTGCTACCCTATAGCCTATGCATAATCTTAAAGGGCGGTCTTCTTTATAGGGGTTTACAAAAGCAATGGTTATCTTCTGGTTTCTTGCAATGGAGGTCTCAACCAGATGAGAGCTGCGGTGAGTAAATTTACTGAGCTTTTTTCTGCTGATTTGAATGTTCAATTTTCAGTGCTGGTGTCATATATTTGCTGATGAGCTTTTGCTGCCTCTATTCCTTTTTCAAATTACTGATCTTTCAGATCTGTGATATGGTCACAATAGCTCGGTATTTAAATCTGACATTGGTTGTTCCTGAACTTGATAAAAGGTCTTTCTGGGCAGATCCAAGGTATGACAAAAACCATAACTTGCTTTATGATGTTCTACAGTCAATTTGCGTGTGTTACTTCTAAACCATTTGAGCTTTCTTTACAGTGACTTTGGTGATATTTTTAATGTTAGACATTTCATCAATTCTTTAAGAGATGAAGTGAAGATTGTTAAATCACTCCCAAATAAATTAGATTCCAAAGTTACCAGCGGGCTATTCTCAATGCCCCCTGTCAGCTGGTCTAGAGAGACATACTATCTAAATCAGGTCCCAAGCATGGCCATTTTTTTGTCCATTTATGATTTTTTTTGGGGTGCACAGTATCGTTTTTCACTGAATTCGACCATATTTGAAGCAGGTCTTACCTCTTATAAGGAAGCACAAAGTACTTCATTTCGATAAAACAGATGCTCGGCTCGCAAACAATGACCTTCCCACCGAGCTCCAAATGTTACGATGCCGTGTTAATTATGAAGCATTAAGATTTACTCCGCAGATTCAAGCTCTAGGTGAGAAGATTATTTCAGTTCTTCGGAAGAACGGATTTTTTGTAGTGCTGCATCTGCGATATGAGATGGATATGCTAGCATTCTCTGGTTGTACTCATGGATGTTCTGATGCTGAAATTAATGAACTCATAAAGATGAGGTTTATTCTCTTTCTTCAAGAATTTTTATATGCTTCCTTGTTTTCTGGATTTTTTTTTTATCAGCCAGCTTAATCCGGCTTGGGCTTTCAGATATGCATACCCATGGTGGAAAGAGAAAGAAATCGATTCGGAAAGTAAAAGATTGGAAGGTCTATGTCCTCTTACACCAGAGGAAATGACATTGGTGCTACAAGCATTAGGAATTCCAAGGGACACTCAGATTTATATAGCCTCAGGAGAAATATATGGCGGTGAGGGAAGGCTGGCTGCTTTGAAGTCTGTATTTCCTAAAATTGTAAGTTTGTGCACTTTGTTTTTTCAAAGACTGCACAATCTGCAAACCTCTAAGCCTCCTTTTTTTTTTTTCTCCTCAGGTAAGAAAAGAGATGATCCTAAGTTCCTATGAGTTGGGCCCCTTCCAAAATCACTCCACTCAGATGGCTGCACTAGACTACCTGGTTTCTATTGCCAGTGATATATTCATTCCAAGCTATGATGGCAACATGGCAAGAGTTGTCGAAGGGCACAGAAGGTTTGTCCCCTCCTCTACCAAATCATTTCTTATAGCTCTTAAAGAGTTGTTTCTTTTTGTGAAAGCTTTACACAAACTTCATGCTGCCTCAATGTTGTATGGCACTTGCAGGATATTGATAGGAAATACTTGAGTTCGCAAGTAACCCTAAGAGTAATACTTGAGTTTGCAAGCAAACCTATCACCGATTAGTGAAAAACAGCGAGAATAATGTGAAATCTGGGTGAAAACAGCCCAAAATGATATATTGTGGTAAAAAAATCAAAGCCAAACAATATTGAAAACAAGATACAAGAGATCCTCAATTCGAGAGGAGGATTGTTTCTCCCAAATCTTTAGACAAGAGAGTCTAGAGGCCAAGTCGCCAAAGAATCCTAATTGAGAACAAATCAAAAACATAATCATCCCTAAAACATCTTATGCTCTTTAATACAAAAACTTTCCTAATCTAATTTCCCTCCCAAGCCCTAGCCTCCCCCTCCTTTTTAATTTGAAATCAATTGGACTAGTGGGGCCCACTAATGTGGGCGGCAAGAAGAAAGGGAGGCGGACTTGGTTCAGGGTGAACCGGCCTCTTTGATCCAAGTCAATGGAGAGTCATGTTTGTGTAGGCTGTATTCCTTAGCTTTCTGATTTAAACAGTTAAAATTTTGTTTGAACTATAAGATGAATATTTTACCACTTTAAGCCCTGAAAAAGTGAAACTTTTGTGTAATAATTTGCTCATACAGGTACAATGGATTCCTTAAGACCATCCTCCTCCATAGAAAATTACTGGTGGAGCTTCTGGATTTGTACCATGAGGAGAAGCTATCATGGGATCAGTTCAGAAATGCTGTCATTGAAGTTCACAAGAACAGGATTGGCCTGCCAACATTAAGAAAGGCCATTCCTGGGAGACCAAAGGAAGAGGATTATTTTTATGCCAATCCTCAAGAATGTCTCAGCTCACCAAAAACTTCCAAGTACCAGATGGACATGCTATAGCATCTGCATCCAAACCATCAGACCTGAACTCAACTTACACTTGAGAGCAATTTTGTTCTCTCCTTAGCAGCTCCGGTCATTCTGGCTGCCATTGATGAGGCACCTCTGAAGTAAATTTTCCTGTGGAAGAGAGGAGATGCTTATTGAGCACCAGTGCAGCTTAAGCTGTTGGCTGAATTCTCTCTGCGATACTTAGATTTAGATTTACAGTTCTTGAATAGGTGATCTAACAGGATTAAGGCTTCGTTTGAGACATCTTTTTTGTTGCTTTTTAAAACAGTTTTTTAGTACAAAAATTTATACTAGAAAACCGTTTTATGAAGCAGTGCGAAAGCTGTCCCAAACGAAGCCTAAATCACGTTTAAATCACTTTCTATGTGAAACACAAAGAACTTTTGTATGTCTTGAATCATCAGGGAAAAGTTTGATGGCAATAGCTCTTAAGATGCCTTCATATAGATGAGTGAATTCTTGATGCATAATATTTGATGAATTTTTTTGGGACAACTTTCTCGTTACTTTCGAAATCAGCTTTTTAGTATAACAATTTTTAGTTAAAAAAAATTGTATTAAAAAGTTACTTTAGAAAGCAGTAAGAAAATCATCTTAAACAAAACTTATATTAAGCTGAAATCTACATCAAGCAAAGCTCCAAGTAGCAAATAGATTATATTATCAACTTTTTTGTCTGCAAATTGAAGATTGTTAAAGAATAAATTCATTTTTTTTCAAATTTTGATTACTAAATATCTCAGATTTTCTTAATTTTGACATATAACTTCTTGAAACAATAAAAAATTATAGACATGTAATTGTTTCTCTTTTTTTTATTATATTTAATTACTATCATACATAAATTTTATCTAAATTTTAATTTTTTTTTAAAAAAATTTCCTTCTCAAATGGTCAAACTTCTTTCAAAATTTTCCTTCTGATGATTGTGATACATAAATTCTATCTAAATTTTAATTTTTCAAAGATTTTTTTCATTCTCAAATGGTCAAACTTCTTTAAAAAATTTCCTTCTGATGATTGTGATTATTTCTAAAATGAGGTAAAAATGTCAAAATATTTTAATATAAATGATCTAAATTTATTTTGAGATTAATGTATTATAAAATGTTTATATAAAATTAATGAATTTTAAATTCATCCTGAACAGCAGATATCTCCAGAATCATTGATTGACAAAAGATCTTTAAAATGCACAACATGGAACATTAATATAAGCAAAATATATGGCAAAATATCACATTACTTTAGTTCATAGAATCCTGACTATCCATCTTTTGACCAATCATAAAGCATTTTAATTTTAATATAAGACAATATTTAAAATCATTATAAATAATTTAAATCTATAAGATGACAATAGAAATATCTTATAATAATAAAAAAAAAATTTAAGCTCAAAATTGTTCTACTGTAATACAGATTATAAAACTTGCACAAAAAAGATAAGCTTCCTATCATTAAAAAATTTCACTGCTCCGGGAGAGAAATATATACATAAAAGCTGCTTCTTTGATTAACCAATATCAACTAATTGAGATAAAGATCAAATTGATTTCTCTCCTCTGCTTCGGTCGATCAATCTCTTCAAAAAGAAGCCAAATTTTGCGACGACTTAGGAGAAACTAAGCTCGAGACATAGCACTCCTGCGTGGAAACATCGACGCCGGCGTTGATCAAAAAGGCCCAAACGAATTCTGCAAATCTTCCAGGTTCAGATCCGAGTACCAATCGTATTCCTCTTTAATCGCCGGCGCAGCTGGCGGAAGCTGCGCCGCGCCTGAGCTGCGATTCATATCCACTGCTTCGTGCCCCAAATCATCCAAATCCGGCAACTCGATGTCAGATTCCGGCGTCCTGAAACTGTCCTCCGTCAAGTCCGTCTCCTCCTTCGGTATCCTCTCCCATCCTTTCTTCTTATTATACAATCGGCACAGCACCCAATCGTCCAACTGCAATAAAAGTTCCATCTTTGATCAGTTCTTTACCGTTTTCATTTCCCAATTTATAAAAAAATAATAATAAAGCAAAACTTTGGATGATTGATTATTACCCGCAAGCTCCCATTTCTTCTCGCGCTGCGATTGGCATCAGCGAGGCGATACTCATGCATGATCCAATCCGTCTTTGCGCCTTTCGGCGGCTTCCCGTCGTAGAAAACCAGGGCTTTCTTTATACCAATCGGCCGGGAATATCCCGCCGGCGTGACCGGCTTGTCCGCCCCTGTTGCTTTCCAGTACCCTCGCCCGGCGGCGCGGTTCGGCCGTGATCCGTTGGGGTACTTCCGATCTCGCGGCGTGAAGAAGTACCACTCCCGCGTTCCGAACAACGCCTTATCTGCTCCCAAAAAATCCAGTTCAGTGAGGAAAATGAAATAACCAAAATAAAGCGAATGAAGACAAGTTGTTCGACGAAAGTACCAGGTAAGTCCCAAGGGTTATATTTGTACAAATCGAGCTCGGCGATGATGGGAACGGGGAGAAGCTGATGAGAAGCTCTCCGGCAGAGGTAGTGGACCAGAAGCTCTTCGTCGGTGGGGTGGAACCGGAATCCCGGCGGCAAGTTGAGCTCCGCCTCCGCGTCTCCGATCCTTCTTCCCATATCTCTTTCTATCTATTCCTCACTCTCCGCCGGGTTCTTTGGCGAGGTATAAATACTTGGATATTTCGGCGCGGACTAAGCGTCGATTGCGTCGGTCGACACGTGGCGGGTGGGTGCTGGCCGGTTTGGAATCCTTGGTCTCTCTGACATGTGCGAGTTGGGTTTTTACGGCCAAGGTTGAATGGGCTGGCGGTGACGTCACCGCGTTCATCCCCCCGGGTATTTTGCACGTGTCCGCGCGGTTGATAGAGATAGAGACTACGTCGGCTGGAACGGGGTGGTGACGTGGAGATTAGTTGGCGGTTCGTAAGAAGAGATGGTGTTTGTTGTTTTGATGGGATCAAGGGGTGGCTTGGGTGTGGGCCCGGTTATTGTGACGTGGATCACGAACCGGTTTCTATGGGGTGGAGAAAATCGTGACGGTTCAGTCAACCCCAGTGAAGTATTATTCTATGAGAATGCACTACTGTAGAATAAATTATTAAATTTAATAAATTTTCAAATTATTAATAGATTATAAAATAAATTTAGAAAAAAAATACATATATTTTTGCATTTAATTGGAAGGAAGTGAAATATCATATTTCAAAAAAAAAAAAAAAAAAAAAAAACCAAACAAAAAAAAAAAAACTCCAAGCAAATATTCTGAGCTCTTTAGAGCGAAATACATTAAAAAAAATTCAAGCCAAGGAAATAATTTGCTTAGATTGGCAACAAATTATAGATAAAAGAGTTTTGATTATGTAAGTATTTTTTTTTCAACAAATTAAACTTTTGGCTATATGAACTTTAAATATAAGGTTAAAATTGTCCTTAGATTTTAATATCATAACATCAAATGATATGCATGGTTTTAAAATTATCCATTATCAACATACATCATTAAATCGTGTTCGCCATTGAGCGAAATTATATCCATCATTTGCCATCGACCGCCGTTCAAATTTGGCGTTCGTTCATTAATCACTACCCATTTTCGACTAATCCGTCGGTCTTTATCATGTCGTTAATTTGAATTTTCATTACTCCTCACAAAGTCAATAATCAACTGATATTTATTTTCTTATATGCCATCAACCTACAATAATATTTGCCCACGTTTATTTGTCGTCAATCAAGATTGATGCCTGTCATCTTTCATTGATTAATATCATTTTTCATGGCCTTCATCTCATAATTAAAAGGGTGGACTATTGTAATTTTTAATTTATAAATAGATGCTACTTCAATTGTATAAGATGCAATGACCTTTTCTCTTCATATTTTATTATTTTTCGTGTAAAAAATGTCTTCTAAGCCACAATCAATTCAATTTCACATGCTCAAATAGCAATATATATATATA